TCTACCAGCACCTCAGACACTCTGGTAGGTGTTACATGTGTACCAACACTCCAGTACACCTCTACCAGCACCTCAGACACTCTGGTAGGTGTTACATGTGTACCAACACTCCAGTACACCTCTCCAGCATCTCAGACACTCTGGTAGATGTTACATGTGTACCAACACTCCAGTACACCTCTACCAGCACCTCAGACACTCTGGTAGATGTTACATGTGTACCAACACTCCAGTACACCTCTACCAGCACCTCAGACACTCTGGTAGGTGTTACATGTGTACCAACACTCCAGTACACCTCTACCATGCACCTCAGACACTCTGGTAGATGTTACCATGTGTACCAACACTCCAGTACACCTCTACCAGCACTCTCAGACACTCTGGTAGGTGTTACATGTGTACCAACACTCCAGTACACCTCTACCAGCACCTCAGACACTCTGGTAGGTGTTACATGTGTACCAACACTCCAGTACACCTCTACCAGCACCTCAGACACTCTGGTAGGTGTTACATGTGTACCAACACTCCAGTACACCTCTACCAGCACCTCAGACACTCTGGTAGGTGTTACATGTGTACCAACACTCCAGTACACCTCTACCAGCACCTCAGACACTCTGGTAGGTGTTACATGTGTACCAACACTTCCAGTACACCTCTACCAGCACCTCAGACACTCTGGTAGGTGTTACATGTGTACCAACACTCCAGTACACCTCTACCAGCACATCAGACACTCTGGTAGGTGTTACATGTGTACCAACACTCCAGTACACCTCTACCAGCACCTCAGACACTCTGGTAGGTGTTACATGTGTACCAACACTCCAGTACACCTCTACCAGCACCTCAGACACTCGGTAGGTGTTACATGTGTACCAACCACTCCAGTACACCTTCTACCAGCACCTCAGACACTCTGGTAGGTTGTTACATGTTGTACCAACACTCCAGTACAACCTCTACCAGCACCTCAGACACTCTGGTAGGTGTTACATGTGTACCAACACTCCAGTACACCTCTACCAGCACCTCAGACACTCTGGTAGGTGTTACATGTGTACCAACACTCCAGTACACCTCTACCAGCACCTCAGACACTCTGGTAGGTGTTACATGTGTACCAACACTCCAGTACACCTCTACCAGCACCTCAGACACTCTGGTAGGTGTTACATGTGTACCAACACTCCAGTACACCTCTACCAGCACCTCAGACACTCTGGTAGATGTTACATGTGTACCAACACTCCAATACACCTCTACCAGCACCTCAGACACTCTGGTAGATGTTACATGTGTACCAACACTCCAGTACACCTCTACCAGCACCTCAGACACTCTGGTAGATGTTACATGTGTACCAACACTCCAGTACACCTCTACCAGCACCTCAGACACTCTGGTAGGTGTTACATGTGTACCAACACTCCAGTACACCATCTACCAGCACCTCAGACACTCTGGTAGATGTTACATGTGTACCAACACTCCAGTACACCTCTACCAGCACCTCAGACACTCTGGTAGGTGTTACATGTGTACCAACACTCCAGTACACCTCTACCAGCACCTCAGACACTCTGGTAGGTGTTACATGTGTACCAACACTCCAGTACACTCTACCAGCACCTCAGACACTCTGGTAGGTGTTACATGTGTACCACACTCCAGTACACCTCTACCAGCACCTCAGACACTCTGGTAGGTGTTACATGTGTACCAACACTCCAGTACACCTCTACCGACACCTCAGACACTCTGGTAGGTGTTACATGTGTACCAACACTCCAGTACACCTCTACCAGCACCCTCAGACACTCTGGTAGGTGTTACATGTGTACCAACACTCCAGTACACCTCTACCAGCACCTCAGACACTCTGGTAGGTGTTACATGTTGTACCAACACTCCAGTACACCTCTACCAGCACCTCAGACACTCTGGTAGGTGTTACATGTGTACCAACACTCCAGTACACCTCTACCAGCACCTCAGACACTCTGGTAGGTGTTACATGTGTACCAACACTCCAGTACACCTCTACCAGCACCTCAGACACTCTGGTAGGTGTTACATGTGTACCAACACTCCAGTACACCTCTACCAGCACCTCAGACACTCTGGTAGGTGTTACATGTGTACCAACACTCCAGTACACCTCTACCAGCACCTCAGACACTCTGGTAGGTGTTACATGTGTTACCAACACTCAGTACACCTCTACCCAGCACCTCAGACACTCTGGTAGGTGTTACTGTGTACCACACTCCAGTACACCTCTACCAGCACCTCACACTCTGGTAGGTGTTACATGTGTACCAACACTCCAGTACACCTCTATCAGCACCTCAGACACTCTGGTAGGTGTTACATGTGCACCAACACTCCAGTACACCTCTACCAGCACCTCAGACACTCTGGTAGGTGTTACATGTGTACCAACACTCCAGTACACCTCTACCAGCACCTCAGACACTCTGGTAGGTGTTACATGTGTACCTCTACCAGCACCTCAGACACTCTGGTAGGTGTTACATGTGTACCTCTACCAGCACCTCAGACACTCTGGTAGGTGTTACATGTGTACCAACACTCCAGTACACCTCTACCAGCACCTCAGACACTCTGGTAGGTGTTACATGTGTACCAACACTCCAGTACACCTCTACCAGCACCTCAGACACTCTGGTAGGTGTTACATGGTACCTCTCTACCAGCACCTCAGACACTCTGGTAGGTGTTACATGTGTACCAACACTCCAGTACACCTCTACCAGCACCTCAGACACTCTGGTAGGTGTTACATGTGTACCTCTACCAGCACCTCAGACACTCTGGTAGGTGTTACATGTGTACCAACACTCCAGTACACCTCTACCAGCACCTCAGACACTCTGGTAGGTGTTACATGTGTACCTCTATACCAGCACCTCAGACACTCTGGTAGTGTTCATGTGTACCAACCTCCAGTACACCTCTACCAGCACCTCAGACACTCTGGTAGGTGTTACATGTGTACCAACACTCCAGTACACCTCTACCAGCACCTCAGACACTCTGGTAGGTGTTACATATGTACCAACACTCCAGTACACCTCTACCAGCACCTCAGACACTCTGGTAGGTGTTACATGTGTACCAACACTCCAGTACACCTTACAGCACCTCAGACACTCTGGTAGTGTTACATGGGTAACCAACACTTCAGTACACCTCTACCAGCACCTCAGACACTCTGGTAGGTGTTTACATGTGTACCAACACCCAGTACACTCTACCAGCACCTCAGGCACTCTGGTAGGTGTTACATGGGTACAACACTCCATTACACCTCTACAGCACCTCAGACACTCTGGTAGGTGTTACATGTGTACCAACACTCCATTACACCTCTACCAACACCTCAGGCACTCTGGTAGGTGTTACATGTGTACCAACACTCCAGTACACCTCTACCAGCACCTCAGACACTCTGGTAGGTGTTACATGTGTACCAACACTCCAGTACACCTCTACCAGCACCTCAGACACTCTGGTAGGTGTTACATGTGCACCAACACTCAGTACACCTCTACCAGCACCTCGACACTCTGTAGTGTTACATGTGTATCAACACTCCAGTACACCTCTACCAGCACCTCAGACACTCTGTTAGATGTTACATGTGTATCAACACTCCAGTACACCTCTACCAGCACCTCAGACACTCTGGTAGGTATGAGAAATATACTAACACTCCAGTACACCTCTACCAGCACCTCAGACACACTGGTAGGTGTTACAAGTGTACAAACATGTACTGGTAGTGTTACAAATGTACTAGCATGCACTGGCAGTGCTACAAGTGTACTAACATGTACTTGTAGTATTACAGGTGTATTAGCACGTACTGGTAGTGTTACAAGTGTACTAACATGTACTGGTAGCGTTACAAGTGTACTAACATGTACTGGTAGTGTTACAAGTATACTAACATGTACTGGTAGTGTTACAAGTGTACTAACATGCACTGGTAGTGTTACAAGTGTACTAACATGTACTGGTAGTGTTACAAGTATACTAACATGTACTGGTAGTGTTACAAGTGTACTAACATGTACTGGTATTGTTACAAGTGCACTAGCATGTACTGGTAGTGTTACAAGTGTAGTAACATGTACTGGTAGTGTTACAAGTATACTAACATGCACTGGTAGTGTTACAAGTGTACTAACATGTACTGGTAGTGTTACAAGTGTACTAACATGTACTGGTAGTGTTACAAGCATACTAACATGCACTGGTAGTGTTACAAGTGTACTAACATGTACTGGTAGTGTTACAAGTGTACTAACATGTACTGGTAGTGTTACAAGTATACTAACATGCACTGGTAGTGTTACAAGTGTACTAACATGTACTGGTAGTGTTACAAGTGTACTAACATGTACTGGTAGTGTTACAAGTGCACTAGCATGTACTGGTAGTGTTACAAGTGTAGTAACATGTACTGGTAGTGTTACAAGTGTACTAACATGTACTGGTAGTGTTAAAAGTGCACTAGCATGTATTGGTAGTGTTACAAGTGTACTAACATGTACTGGTAGTGTTACAAGTGTACTAACATGTACTGGTAGTGTTACAAGTGTACTAACATGTACTGGTAGTGTTACAAGTGCATTAGCATGTACTGGTAGTGTTACAAGTGTACTAACATGTACTGGTAGTGTTACAAGTGAACTAACATGTACTGGTAGTATTACAGGTGTATTAACACGTACTGGTAGTGTTACAAGTGTAATAACATGTACTGGTAGTGTTGCAAGTGTACTAACATGTACTGGTAGTGTTAAAAGTGCACTAGCATGTATTGGTAGTGTTACAAGTGTACTAACATGTACGGGTAGTGTTACAAGTGTACTAACATGTACTGGTAGTGTTACAAGTGTACTAACATGTACTAGCCACATTAATTAACAATAACAATAATAATAATAATGTTGACAGGGGTGGAGATGGGGGAGTCAGTAGCGAGGAAGAGGATGATCATCACGGTAGAGATGATACATGACTCTGCCATAGCCATCATTCATGGTGTACCGGTAACTATCTCTCAGTAATAACACTTACTTGGGGGGGGAGACACAGGTAACACTTCAGTACCTTCTGATGGTTTTAAGGTGGTAGATAAGCTTAACCTTGACCCGAGTTTTAAGGTGGTAGATAAGCTTAACCTTGACCCGAGTTTTAAGGTAGTAGATAAGCTTAACCTTGACCCGAGTTTTAAGGTGGTAGTTTAAGTTTAACCTTGACCCGATTTTTAAAGGGTTTGGTAGATAAGTTTAAAAACCTTGACCGATTTTTAAAGGTGGTAGATAAGCTTAACCTTGACCCGATTTTTAAGGTAGTAGATAAGCTTAACCTTGACCCGAGTTTTAGGTGGTAGATAAGCTTAACCTTGACCCGAGTTTTAAGGTGGTAGATAAGCTTAACCTTGACCCGAGTTTTAAGGTGGTAGATAAGCTTAACCTTGACCCGAGTTTTAAGGTGGTAGATAAGCTTAACCTTGACCCGAGTTTTAAGGTAGTAGATAAGCTTAACCTTGACCCGAGTTTTAAGGTGGTAGATAAGCTTAACCTTGACCCGAGTTTTAAGGTAGTAGATAAGCTTAACCCTTGACCCGAGTTAAGGTGGTAGATAAGCTTACCTTGACCCGAGTTTTAAGGTGGTAGATAAGCTTAACCTTGACCCGAGTTTTAAGGTGGTAGATAAGCTTAACCTTGACCCGAGTTTTAAGGTGGTAGATAAGGCTTAACCTTGACCCAGTTTAAGGTGATAGATAAGCTTAACCTTGACCCGATTTTTAAAGGTAGTAGATAAGCTTAACCTTGACCCGGTTTTAAGGTGGTAGATAAGCTTAACTTGACCCGAGTTTTAAGGTGGTAGATAAGTTTAAACCCTTTTGACCCGAGTTTTAAGGTGGTAGATAAGCTTAACCTTGACCCGAGTTTTAAGGTGGTAGATAAGCTTAACCTTGACCCGAGTTTTAAGGTGGTAGATAAGCTTAACCTTGACCCGAGTTCCTCTCCAGTGTGGAGGCTTCTTTCTGACATGTTCCCTTTGATAAATGAGGATATATATACACTGCCAGGTGTATGTCTCAGTGTATATACACAGAGGTGTATGTATCTCAAGAGTATATACACTCAGAGGTGTATGTTTTTCAGTGTATATAGACTGAGAGGTGTATGTCTGTGTGTATATACACTGGTAGTTTACATTAATCACTATTTTATTCTTGACTGGTGGTATACAGGTGACATACAGTCACCTGTATAGTAGACTTTAAACCCCATTAACCAACTAACCAGACTTAATGACTGGTGTATAATATACACCGTCCTCTAGTGAATAATGTTTATTAGGGTTATTATTCATAATATACATCGACCTCTGATGGTGAGGCCTAAGGGAGGGATGTTGATACATATGTAACATTTATGTAATGTATATATTCGTGTAATATATATTCTCTATCACTACTATTAATCACCATTATCATCATTTATCACCATATTATTAATATATATTACCACTATTAATCACCATTATCATCATTTATCAACATTATTAATATATATTACCACTATTAATCACCATTATCATCATTTATCACCATTATTATTAACATATATTACCACTATTAATCGCCATTATTTTCTTGTACATTAAGGTGTCAATACATAACTGTAGTGAGATGGTGAGTAATATTGGTGTAGTGACATTGATGGTGATCCACCCAGCTACCGCCCACATCCTGCGTACTTACCACCACCCATCCCACGCCCACGCCGGCCCACTACAACGCTTCCTCACCACCCTGCAGTATGGGCGGCTCCTCCTCGTCACTGCCTCAGTTAGTAACTTATATCTCTCTTAATACCAGGGTTGTTCTACCAGCTTCAGTCTTAATACCAGGGTTGTTCTACCAGCTTGAGTCTTAATACCAGGATTGTTCTACCAGCTTGAGTCTTAATACCAGGGTTGTTCTACCAGCTTCAGTCTTAATACCAGGGTTGTTCTACCAGCTTCAGTCTTAATACCAGGGTTGTTCTACCAGCTTGAGTCTTAATACCAGGGTTGTTCTACCAGCTTCAGTTTTAATACCAGGGTTGTTCTACCAGCTTCAGTTTTAATACCAGGGTTTTCTACCAGCTTCCCGTTTTATAACCCGGGTTGTTCTAACCAGCTTGAGTTCTTAATACCAGGGTTGTTCTACCCGCTTCAGTCCCTTAATACCAGGGTTGTTTCTAACCAGCTTCAGTCTTAATCTCAGGGTGTTCTACCAGTTTCAGTCTTAATACCAGGGTTGTTCTACCAACTTCACAGTCTTAATACCAGGGTTGTTCTACAAGCTTCAGTCTTAATACCAGGGTTGTTCTACCAGCTTCAGTCTTAATCCCAGGGTTGTTCTACCATCTTCAGTCTTAATCCCAGGGTTGTTCTACAAGCTTCAGTCTTAATCCCAGGGTTGTTCTACCAACTTCACAGTCTTAATACCAGGGTTGTTCTACCAGCTTCAGTCTTAATACCAGGGTTGTTCTACAAGCTTCAGTCTTAATCCCAGGGTTGTTCTACCAACTTCACAGTCTTAATACCAGGGTTGTTCTACCAGCTTCAGTCTTAATACCAGGGTTGTTCTACCAGCTTCAGTCTTAATCCCAGGGTTGTTCTACAAGCTTCAGTCTTAATCCCAGGGTTGTTCTACAAGCTTCAGTCTTAATACCAGGGTTGTTCTACCAGCTTCAGTCTTAATCCCAGGGCTGTTCTACCAGCTTCAGTCTTAATACCAGGGTTGTTCTACCAGCTTCAGTCTTAATCCCAGGGTTGTTCTACAAGCTTCAGTCTTAATACCAGGGTTGTTCTACCAGCTTCAGTCTTAATACCAGGGTTGTTCTACCAGCTTCAGTCTTTAAAAACAGGGTTGTTTCTACCCGCTTCATCTTAATCCCCGGGTTGTTCTACCAGCTTTAGTCTTAATCTCAGGGTTGTTCTACCCGCTTGAGTCTTAATACCAGGGTTGTTCTACCAGCTTGAGTCTTAATACCAGGGTTGTTCTACCAGCTTCAGTCTTAATACCAGGGTTGTTCTACCAGCTTCAGTCTTAATCCCAGGGTTGTTCTACCAGCTTGAGTCTTAATACCAGGGTTGTTCTACCAGCTTGAGTCTTAATACCAGGGTTGTTCTACCAGCTTCAGTCTTATCCAGGGTTTTTCTACCAGCTTCAGTCTTAATACCAGGGTTGTTCTACCAGCTTCAGTCTTAATACCAGAGTTGTTCTACCAGCTTCAGTCTTAATCCCAGGGTTGTTCTACCAGCTTCAGTCTTAATCTCAGGGTTGTTCTACCAGCTTCAGTCTTAATCTCAGGGTTGTTCTACCAGCTTCAGTTTTAATCCCAGGGTTGGGTTTTTACCAGCCCTTTAGTCTTAATACCAGGGTTGTTCTACCAACTTCACAGTCTTAATTTCCAGGGGGGTTCTACCAACTTCACAGTCTTAATACCAGGGTTGTTCTACCAACTTCACAGTCTTAATACCAGGGTTGTTCTACCAACTTCACAGTCTTAATACCAGGGTTGTTCTACCGGCTTCACAGTCTTAATATCAGGGTTGTTCTACCAACTTCACAGTCTTAATACCAGGGTTGTTCTACCGGCTTCAGTCTTAATATCAGGGTTGTTCTACCAGCTTCAGTCTTAATACCAGGGTTGTTCTACCAGCTTCACAGTCTTAATACCAGGGTTGTTCTACCAGCTTCACAGTCTTAATACCAGGGTTGTTCTACCGGCTTCAGTCTTAATATCAGGGTTGTTCTACCGGCTTCAGTCTTAATATCAGGGTTGTTCTACCGGCTTCAGTCTTAATACCAGGGTTGTTCTACCGGCTTCAGTCTTAATTATCAGGGTTGTTCTAAACCGGGTTCAGTCTTAAAATCAGGGTTGTTCTACCGGCTTCAGTCTTAATACCAGGGTTGTTCTACCAGCTTCACAGTCTTAATACCAGGGTTGTTCTACCAGCTTCACAGTCTTAATACCAGGGTTGTTAACCGGGTTCAGTCTTAATATCGGGTTGTTCTAAAACCCGGGTTCAGTCTTAATATCAGGGTTGTTCTACCGGCTTCAGTCTTAATACCAGGGTTGTTCTACCGGCTTCAGTCTTAATATCAGGGTTGTTCTACCAGCTTCACAGTCTTAATATCAGGGTTGTTCTACCGGCTTCAGTCTTAATATCAGGGTTGTTCTACCAGCTTCACAGTCTTAATATCAGGGTTGTTCTAAAACCCGGGTTCAGTCTTAATATCAGGGGTTTTTCTACCGGCTTCAGTCTTAATATCAGGGTTGTTCTACCAGCTTCACAGTCTTAATATCAGGGTTGTTCTACCGGCTTCAGTCTTAATATCAGGGTTGTTCTACCGGCTTCAGTCTTAATATCAGGTTGTTTTCTACCAGCTATCAGTCTTAATCCCAGGATTGTTCTAAAAACCGGGGTTCAGTCTTAATATCAGGGTTGTTCTACCAGCTTTACAGTCTTAATATCAGGGTTGTTCTACCAGCTTCACAGTCTTAATATCAGGGTTGTTCTACCAGCTTCACAGTCTTAATATCAGGGTTGTTCTACCAGCTTCACAGTCTTAATCTCAGGGTTGTTCTACCAGCTTCAGTCTTAATATCAGGGTTGTTTTACCAGCTTCACAGTCTTAATATCAGGGTTGTTCTACCAGCTTCACAGTCTTAATATCAGGGTTGTTCTACCAGCTTCACAGTCTTAATCCCAGGGTTGTTCTACCAGCTTCACAGTCTTAATATCAGGGTTGTTCTACCAGCTTCACAGTCTTAATACCAGGGTTGTTCTACCAGCTCAGTCTTTAAAATCAGGGGTTTTTCTACCAGCTTCAAAGTCTTAATATCCCGGGGTTGTTCTACCAGCTTCACAGTCTTAATATCAGGGTTGTTCTACCAGCTTCACAGTCTTAATACCAGGGTTGTTCTACCAGCTTCACAGTCTTAATATCAGGTTTTTCTTTCCAGCTTCACAGTCTTAATACCATGGGTTGTTCTACCAGCTTCACAGTCTTAATACCAGGGTTGTTCTACCAGCTTCACAGTCTTAATACCATGGTTGTTCTACCAGCTTCACAGTCTTAATACCAGGGTTGTTCTACCAGCTTCACAGTCTTAATTTTCAGGGTTGTTCTACCAGCTTCACAGTCTTAATACCATGGTTGTTCTACCAGCTTCACAGTCTTAATACCAGGGTTGTTCTACCAGCTTCACAGTCTTAATACCAGGGTTGTTCTACCAGCTTCACAGTCTTAATACCAGGGTTGTTCTACCAGCTTCACAGTCTTAATATCAGGGTTGTTCTACCAGCTTCACAGTCTCAACTTTCCAGCGTCCTCTTAACTTTGAAATGCCATTTTTTTAAGTTGGGTTTAAGTCCGGGTGACTTTTGTTATGTTAAAATGTTTTTAACTTAAACTCAGTTAGATTAATTTGATTTTTAAGTTAGGTATTCCAACTAGTAGTCTTGAAGAGTGACTTAGAAATGGTCTCTAGTCTTCATTGGCTGTTATTATTATTATTATTATTATTATTATTATTATTATTATTATTATTATTATTATTATTATTATTATCACTGTTATTATGATGAATGGTGCTTCAGTAGCAGACGGAGGATGGAGTCTTCAGTGTGTTAATATTATTAACTGTGTTTCTGGACAGGTGTTGTGGATGGAGGATAGTGTGAAGGAGATATTGACACAGCTGGGAGCTACCATACCCCATGTGCCTAGGTGGGAGAGGGCAGTGTGGGCGTGGATGGGCGTTGTGGGTGGCGGTACATTGGCCCAGATGGCTGCTTCTTCTCACTTCCTAGTCCACCAGCGTGCCTTCCTTGAAGTATTATTACCCAGGACCCCAGGTAATGGTGGTGGTGGTGATGGTAGTACTGGTAGCAGTGTGGTGATGGCAGTAATGATGGTAGTGGTGTGGTGAGGGTAGTAGTGGTAGTGGTGTGCTGATGGGTTGTCAATAGGTTCCTGAGTGACTTGTGTGGAAGATCACTGATAGCTCTGCATGGAATTTATTGATTCTCGTTAGGTGTGTGTCCCACGCCTGGTTCCACCCATGTCTCAGCCAAAACTGACTCTAGTCACTCAAGCCAGCAGGCCTTGCAATACTGGGGTCAAGATGAGACCCCTACATACCCCAAGCCGTGGGAGCACTAACGTCTGTTTGTGGGATACATGAAGGGTCATGCATGACAAGTACACACTACTGACAGCTCATATCATGCTATGGCATGTCGACCTCATCATGCAGACAGTAACTAACACAGTATGAGGCAGACACAATGATTTTCTACGGTGCGAGGGATGTTGTACAACAAGAGAATATGTATCATACTCTTAAAGCATAATGAATCATGGTGGATAATTTAAAAAGTAAAGGAGCTTGATCAGTCGGTGTTCAGGCGGTCACTGGGTTTTGAGGAAATTATACAAGAATAAAAGTACTGAGAGGATGTGAATCAATGTACTAGGAAAAATGATAGTGAAAAATGAACAGGAGGCCTGGTCTCAGACCGGGCCGCGGGGGCGTTGACCCCCGGAACTCTCTCCAGGTAAACTCCAGGTATATGGATATGAGAGTGCAAGAATATGAGAGTCTTGCAGAGACTCTCATGTTCTTGCACTCTCATTTATAAATAAATTGCACTAATCATTTATAAATAAATTGACATGAATACAAACATGAAAAAATGGGTTATAAATGTTAAGTTATTTACACAATATGACATGATAATGTGAGGTGAATGAAACATCAGTTACGAACTGACACAGTCAAAAATAACAAGGTATAAAAAACTACAAATTGTAAAATACTGACTTAAAATAACTATTTATCTATACAAGTCACTAACATTTAACCCCAACTGTGCTGAGGTAAAATTGACATATACAGAATGTTCATCTGATCTATCAGTCAGTAACACCGGCTAACACTTTCCCTGACTGACACCAATCAACATTAGTGGTTTTGACTGAGACCTGACGTGTCTTCGTCACTCGTCGTGTCCCTAAGGAGCAACCACAGCCGGGACGTGTATAACTATAATAACTTCACCATAATACAATTTTTGTACGAAGGTGAATGACATTTAGGTGTACATGCAGAAAGCCCCTTAATATACAAAACATTTCGGGAAAACTTAACACTAACTTAATAAGACAACAATATAAGTAATTTTATACATACAGTCACTTGAGTGAGTGTCAGTATAAATATAGAAGTTGCGATGATTACAAGCGAATTGAATATTCTGTTAGTACATGCTAAATGGCTTTTATCAAGTTTAATTGTTTAAGGAATTACAGGTTTGATTATTATTATTATATTAACATAAAGTGGACACACTCAATGTTTTAATGTTTGAGAGGAATACAGATATTGAGAATATCAGTCAGTGGATAGAAGTAGAAGGTACTGGGTCAGGATGGTCCAAGTGTGGTTCACCAGTCTGGATGGCAGAAGTCTGGTTCACCAGTCTGGATGGCAGAAGTCTGGTTCATCAGTCTGGATGGCAGAAGTCTGGTTCACCAGTCTGGATGGCAGAAGTCTGGTTCATCAGTCTGGATGGCAGAAGTCTGGTTCACCAGTCTGGATGGCAGAAGTCTGGTTCACCAGTCTGGATGGCAGAAGTCTGTTCATCAGTCTGATGGCAGAAGTCTGGTTCACCAGTCTGGATGGCAGAAGTCTGGTTCATCAGTCTGGATGGCAGAAGTCTGGTTCACCAGTCTGGATGGCAGAAGTCTGGTTCATCAGTCTGGATGGCAGAAGTCTGGTTCACCAGTCTGGTTCCTGCCTCCACTGCATCACTTGTTAGACTATTCCACTTCCTGACAACTCTATGACTGAAGAAATACTACCTAGCATCCCTCTGACTCGTCTGAGTCTTTAGCTTCCAACTGTGACCCTTTATTTCTGTGTCCCCTCTCTGGAACATCCTGTCTCTGTCCACCTTATCTATTCCACGCAGTATTTTATATGTCGTTATCATGTCTCTCCTGGCCCTCCTGTCCTCCAGCGCCGTCAGGCCGATTTCCCTCAACCTTTCTTCGTAGGGCATTCCCCTGAGCTCCGGAACTAACCTTGTTGCAAGCCTTTGCACTTTCTCTAATTTCTTGACGTGCTTGACCAGGTGTGGGTTCCAGACTGGTGCTGCACACTCCAGTATGGGCCTGACGTACACAGTGTACAGTGTCTTGAACGATTCCTTACTAAGGTATCGAAAAGTATTATCAGGTTTGCCAGGCGCCCATATGCTGCAGCAGTTATCTGGTTGATGCGTGCTTCCAGAGACGTGCTCGGTGTTATGCTCACCCCAAGATCTTTCTCCTTCAGTGAGGTTTGCAGTTTTTGGCCACCTAGACTATACTCTGTCTGCGGTCTTTTTTGCCCTTCTCCAATCTTCATGACTTTGCATTTGGCATGGTTGAATTCGAGAAGCCAATTGATGGACCACGTGTGTAAGTGGTGGTGGTGATGATGGTAGTGATGGTGGTACTGATTGTGGTAGTGATGGTGGTAGTGATGGCCGTAGTGATGGAGGTAATGATGGCGGTGGTGATGGTGATAGTGATGGTGGTAGTGATGGTGGTAGTGATGGTGGTAGTGATGGTAGTGATGGTGGTAGTGATGGTGATAGTGATGGTGATGGTGGTAGTGATAGTGATGGTGGTAGTGATAGTGATGGTGGTAGTGATGGTGATAGTGATGGTGGTAGTGATGGTGATAGTGATGGTGATAGTGATGGTGGTGGTGATAGTGATAGTGATGGTGGTAGTAATGGTGATAGTGATGGTGGTAGTGATAGTGATGGTGATAGTGATGGTGATAGTGATGGTGGTAGTGATGGTGATAGTGATGGTGATAGTGATGGTGATAGTGATGGTGGTAGTGATGGTGATAGTGATGGTGGTAGTGATGGTGATAGTGATGGTAGTGATAGTGATGGTGATAGTGATGGTAATAGTGATGGTGGTAGTGATAGTGATGGTGATAGTGATGGTGATAGTGATGGTGGTAGTGATGGTGATAGTGATTCTTATGAATATTCCATTTGTAAACATCTCGAATTATATATTAATTTAATTAAAACCACTGTGTAATACAAATATTGACTATATAAGTTCTTATATTGACTATATAAGTGCTTATATTGACCATATAAGTGCTTATATTGACTATATAAGTGCTTATATTGACTATATAAGTTCTTATATTGACTATATAAGTTCTTATATTGACTATATAAGTTCTTATATTGACTATATAAGTGCTTATATTGACTATATAAGTTCTTATATTGACTATATAAGTTCTTATATTGACTATATAAGTGCTTATATTGACTATATAAGTGCTTATATTGACTATATAAGTGCTTATATTGACTATATAAGTGCTTATATTGACTATATAAGTTCTTATATTGACTATATAAGTGCTTATATTCAATATATAAGTTCTTATATTGACTATATAAGTGCTTATATTGACTATATAAGTTCTTATATTGACTATATAAGTGCTTATATTGACTATATAAGTTCTTATATTGACTATATAAGTGCTTATATTGACTATATAAGTGCTTATATTCAATATATAAGTTCTTATATTGACTATATAAGTGCTTATATTGACTATATAAGTTCTTATATTGACTATATAAGTGCTTATATTGACTATATAAGTTCTTATATTGACTATATAAGTGCTTATATGACTTTAAGTTATATTGACTATAAGTGCTTATATTGACTTTATAAGTTCTTATATTGACTATATAAGTTCTTATATTGACTATATAAGTTCTATATTGACTATATAAGTTCTTAATTGACTATATAAGTTCTTATATTGACTATATAAGTTCTTATATTGACTATATAAGTTCTTATATTGACTATATAAGTTCTTATATTGACTATATAAGTTCTTATATTGACTATATAAGTTCTTATATTGACTATATATAAGTTCTTATATTGACTATATAAGTTCTTATATTGACTATATAAGTTCTTATATTGACTATATAAGTTCTTATATTGACTATATAAGTTCTTATATTGACTATATAAGTGCTTATATATACAAGTAACGTTATGGAAGAGATGATTAATATTGGTGGACCCACATGACAGATGAACCCTGGTGTCCAGGTGTACGCCCACCCAGCGAGGATGGGCGGCGATGGGCGGCACGGGTGGCGCTGTGTACAGCTTACGATGGTTATGGTGACTGGTGTTCCTGCCCGCCACCATCATTACAGACAGCAGTAGCACCCGAAGTAGCACCACCCAGACGAACTTACAGTCACATCTCTCAGGTGAATGAATCTTTCTATTTTCAAAGTCAACTTCAAACATTTCCTAAGATGATAAAGTAGTAGTACTGAAATGTTGGGGGTCAATTGTACTCATTAGAGTACAATGTTTGGTGAGCTCAATGTTCCATTGGTTGTTCTGGAGTCCACTGATGAACTAAGTTGACATTCTACCCTACACACACACACACACACACACACACACACACACACACACACACACACACACACACACACACACACACACACATACATACATACATACATATACGTAACAATATATACAAGGAAGCTGAGGGGAGGTTTGTACCCAAGGGTAACAGGAATAATGTAAAAGCCAGGATGAGCCCATGGTTCACCCAAAGGTGCAGGGAGGCAAAAACCAAGTGTGCTAGTGAATGGAAGAAGTATAGAAGGCAAAGAACCCAGGAGGATAAGGAGAGCAGTCGCAGAGCCAGAAATGAATATGCAGAGGTAAGAAGGGAGGCCCAACGACAATATGAAAACGACATAGCAGCGGAACCCAAATCTGACCCGAAGCTGTTGTGCAGCCACATCAGGAGGAAAACAACAGTCAAGGACCAGGTAATCTGGCTAAGGAAGGAAGGAGGAGAGACAACAAGAAACGACCGTGATGTGAGGAACTCAACATGAGATTCAAAGAAGTGTTCACAGAGGAGACAGAAGGGACTCCAGAAAGACGGAGAGGTGGGGTACACCATGTGTTAGGCACAATACATACAACCGAGGAAGAAGTGAAGAGGCTGCTGAGCGAGCTAGATACCTCAAAGGCGATGGGGCCAGATCACATCTCTCCATGGGTCCTGAGAGAGGGAGCAGAGGCACTATGTGTACCCCTAACAACAATATTCAGCACATCTATCAAAACGGGGAGATTGCCTGAGGTATGGAAGACAGCAAATGTAGTCCCAATTTTTAAAAAAGGAGACAGACATGAAGCACTAAACTACAGACCAGTGTCACTGACATGTATAGTTTGCAAAGTCATAGAGAAGATTATCAGAAGAGTGGTGGAACACCTAGAAAGGAATGAGCTCATCAACAACAGCCAACATGGTTTCAGGGACGGGAAATCCTGTGTCACAAACCTACTGGAGTTCTATGACAGGGTGACAGCAGTAAGACAAGAGAGAGAGGGGTGGGTAGATTGCATTTTCTTGGACTGTAAGAAGGCGTTTGACACAGTTGCACACAAGATATTAGTGCAAAAACTGGAGGACCAGGCAGGGATAACAGGGAAGGCACTACAATGGATCAGGGAATACCTATCAGGAAGGCAGCAGCGAGTCATGGTACGTGGCGAAGTGTCAGAGTGGGCACCTGCGACGAGTTCGTTTCCACAGGGGTCAGTCCTAGGACCGGTGCTGTTTCTGTTATTTGTGAACAACATGACGTAAGGAATAGACTCCGAGGTGTCCCTGTTTGCAGATGATGTGACGTTGATGAGAAGAATTCAATCAGACGAAGACCAGCAAGAACTACGAAGGGATCTGGACAGGCTGCAGGCCGGGTCCAGCAATTGGCTCCTGGAGTTCAACCCCACCAAGTGCAAAGTCATGAAGATTGGGGAAGGGCAAAGAAGACCACAGACTGAGTACAGTCTAGGGGGACAGAGACTACAAACCTCACTCAAGGAAAAAGATCTTGGGGTAAGTATAACACCAGGCACATCTGAGGCGCACATCAACCAAATAACTGCTGCAGCGTATGGTTAGTTAGTTTAATATCTTTATTATGCACCCCATACCCATCCTGTGGGCGGTAGTCAAAAGATTACAGAGGTACATAATGGGTCCAGGGACTGGACCCCAAAGTTATGATAGCTGAACTAGTTACAAAGGTATTGAACTCCAGGTAGATCTGGTCACAATCATGGCAAGTTACAAAGGTAATGAATCAGCATATGGGCGCCTAGCAAACCTAAGAACAGCATTCCACCATCTTAATAAGGGATCGTTCAGGACCCTGTACACTGTGTATGTTAGGCCAATATTGGAGTATGCGGCACCAGTTTGGAACCCACATCTAGCCAAGCACGTAAAGAAACTAGAGAAAGTGCAAAGGTTGGCAATAAGAATAGTCCCAGAGCTAAGGGGTATCTCCTACGAGGAGAGGTTAAGGGAAATCGACCTGACGACATTGGAGGACAGGAGAGATAGGGGGACATGATAACGACATATAAAATACTGAGAGGAATTGACAAAGTGGCCCGGTGGCCTGGTGGCTAAAGCTCCCGCTTCACACATGGAGGGCTCGGGTTCGATTCCCGGCGGGTGGAAGCATTTCTACGTGTTTCTTTACACCTGTTGTCCTATTCACCTAGCAGCAAATAGGCACCTGGGTGTTAGTCGACTGGTGTGGGTCGCATCCTGGGGGACAAGATTGAGGACCCCAGTGGAAGTAATTTAAACAGTCCTCGATGACGCACTGACTTTCTTGGGTTATCCTGGGTGGCTAACCCTCAGGGGTTAAAGATCCGAACGAAATCTTACCTTATCTTATCTTGACAAAGACAGAACGTTCCAGAGATGGGACACAGGAACAAGGGGACACAGTTGGAAATTGAAGACACAGATGAATCACAGGGAAGTTAGGAAGTATTTCTTCAGCCACATAGTAGTCAGGAAGTGGAATAGTTTGGGAAGAGATATAGTGGAGGCAGGATCCATACATAGCTTTAAGCAGAGGTACGATAAAGCTCATGGTTCAGGGAGTGACCTAGTGGCGACCAGTGAAGAGGCGGGGCCAGGAGCTTGGACTCGACCCCTGCAACCTCAACTAGGTGAGTACACACACACACACATGCACATGCACGCGCACACACACACACACACACACACACACACACACACACACACACACACACAACACAACCACACAACCACAGGGAGATCGACTGGGAAAACCTGGAGCCACATGGGGGTCCCGAAACATGGAGAGCCAAGATGATGGATGTGGTACTTGAAAACCTCATGCATCAACATGTCAGGGACACTACCAGAGAGAGAAGGGAGGATGAGCCAGCAAGACTGGATCTTGTGTTCACCCTGAGCAGTTCAGACACTGAGGACATCACTTACGAGAGGCCCCTTGGAGCTAGCGATCACATGGTTCTGAGTTTTGATTATATAGTAGAGTTACAAGTGAAGAAGGTAACAGGAATTGAATGTGAAAAGCCAAACTATAAAAGGGGGGACTACACAGGTATGAGGAACTTCCTGCAGGAGGTTCAGTGGGACAGAGAACTGGTAGGAAAATCAGTAAACGAGATGATGGAATATGTAACAACAAAATGCAAGGAGGCAGAGGAAAGGTTTGTTCCCAAGGGAAATAGAAATAATAGGAAGACCAAAGCGAGTCCTTGGTTTACCCGAAGGTGTAGGGAGGCAAAAACTAAGTGCACCAGAGAATGGAAAAGGTACAGGAGGCAAAGGACCCAGGAAAATAAGGAGATTAGTAGAAGAGCCGGAAACGAGTATGCACAGATAAGGAGGGAGGCCCAGCGACAGTACGAAAACGACATAGCATCGACAGTCAAATCTGACCCGAAACTGCTGTATAGCCACATTAGGAGGAAGACAACAGTCAAAGACCAGGTGATAAGGCTGAGGAAAGAAGGTGGGGAACTCACAAGAAACGATCAAGAAATATGTGAGGAGCTCAATATGAGATTTAAGGAAGTATTTACAGTGGAGACAGGAAGGCCTCTGGGGGGACAGAACAGAGGGGGACACCAGCAAGGAATATACCAACAAGTGTTGGATGACATACATACAAATGAGGAGGAGGTGAAGAAGCTGCTAAGGGACATCGATACCTCAAAGGCAATGGGACCGGACATCTCCCCGTGGGTGCTTAGAGAGGGAGCGGATATGCTGTGTGTGCCATTTACCACAATCTTCAACACATCCCTGGAAACTGGGCAACTACTTGAGGTATGGAAGACGGCAAATGTAGTTCCCATTTTTAAAAAAAGAAGGCAGAAAAGAGGCACTAAACTATAGACCTGTGTCACTGACATGTATAGTATGCAAAGTTATGGAGAAGATTATCAGGAGGAGAGTGGTGGAGCACCTGGAACGGAACAAGAGTATAAACGCCAACCAGCACGGATTCATGGAAGGCAAATCCTGTGTCACAAACCTTCTGGAGTTTTATGATAAAGTAACAGAAGTAAGACACGAGAGAGAGGGGTGGGTTGATTGCATCTTCTTGGACTGCAAGAAGGCCTTTGACACAGTTCCTCACAAGAGATTAGTGCAGAAGCTAGAGGATCAGGCGCATATAACAGGAAGGGCACTGCAATGGATCAGAGAATACCTGACAGGGAGGCAACAACGAGTCATGGTACGTGATGAGGTATCACAGTGGGCACCTGTGACGAGCAGGGTCCCACAGGGGTCGGTTCTAGGACCAGTGCTATTTTTGGTATATGTGAACATGATGGAAGGGTTAGACTCGGAAGTGTCCCTGTTTGCAGATGATGTGAAGTTAATGAGGAGAATTAAATCAGATGAGGATCAGGCAGGACTTCAAAGAGACCTGGACAGACTGGACACCTGGTCCAGCAACCGGCTTCTCGAATTTAACCCCGCCAAATGCAAAGTCATGAAGATCGGGGAAGGGCACAGAAGACCGCAGACAGAGTATAGGCTAGGTGGCCAAAGATTGCAAACCTCGCTCAAGGAGAAAGGTCTTGGGGTGAGTATAACACCGAGCATGTCTCCGGAAGCACACATCAACCAGATAACTGCTGCAGCATATGGGGCCTGGCAAACCTGAGAACAGCGTTCCGATACCTTAGTAAGGAATCGTTCAAGACACTGTACACCGTGTACGTCAGGCCCATACTGGAGTATGCAGCACCTGTTTGGAACCCGCACTTGATCAAGCACGTCAAGAAATTAGAGAAAGTGCAAAGGTTTGCGACAAGGTTAGTTCCAGAGCTAAGGGGAATGTCCTATGAAGAAAGGTTAAGGGAAATCGGCCTGACGACACTGGAGGACAGGAGGGTCAGGGGAGACATGATAACGATATATAAAATAATGCGCGGAATAGACAAGGTGGACAAAGACAGGATGTTCCAGGGAGGGGACACAGAAACAAGAGGTCATAATTGGAAGTTGAAGACTCAGATGAGCCAGAGGGATGTTAGGAAGTATTTCTTCAGTCATAGAGTTGTCAGGCAGTGGAATAGCCTAGAAAGTGACGTAGGGGAGGCGGGAACCATACATAGTTTTAAGACCAGGTTTGATAAAGCTCATGGAGCAGGGAGAGAGAGGACCCAGTAGCAACCGGTGAAGAGGCGGGGCCAGGAGCTAAGACTCGACCCCTGCAACCACAAATAGGTGAGTACAAATAGGCGAGTACACACACACACACACACACACACACCACACACACACACACACACACACACACACACACACACACACACACACACAAGAATCTCAAATATTCTTGGCATGAAGAAAGGTCTCTGGTACACCTCCCTCAAGCGACGCTGAGCGAGATGTAATCTACACTGTGGGGAGAACACTGTGGGGGAACATTGTGTGGGGAACACTGTGAGGAACACTGTGGGAACACTGTGTTGGAACATTGTGTGGGAACAACACTGTGGGAACTACACTGTGGGAACAACACTGTGCGAACAACACTATGGGAGCAACACTTTGGGAACAACACTGTGGTAACAGCACTGTGGGAACAGTACACTGTGGGAACAACACTGCGGGAACAGTGCACTGTGGGAACAACACTGTGGGAACAGTGCACTGTGGGAACAACACTGTGGGAGCAACACTGTGGAACAACACTGTGGGAACAGTGCACTGTGGGAGCAACACTGTGGGAACAGTACACTGTGGGAACAACACTGTGGGAACAACACTGTGAGAACAGTGCACTGTGGGAGCAACACTGTGGGAACAGTACACTGTGGGAACAACACTGTGGGAACAGTGCACTGTGGGAGCAACACTGTGGGAACAACACTGTGGGAACAGTGCACTGTGGGAACAACACTGTGGGAACAGTGCACTGTGGGAACAACACTGTGGGAACAATGCATTGTGGGAGCAACACTGTGGGAACAGTGCACTGTGGGAACAACACTGTGGGAACAGTGCACTGTGGGAACAACACTGTGGGAACAACACTGTGGGAACTGCACTGTGGGAACAACACTGTGGGAACAACACTGTGGGAACAGTGCACTGTGAGAACAACACTGTGGAAACAGTGCACTGTGGGAACAACACTGTGGGAACAGTGCACTGCGGGAACAACACTGTGGGAACAACACTGTGGGAACAGTGCACTGTGGGAACAACACTGTGGGAACAGTGCACTGTGGGAACAGCACTGTGGGAACAACACTGTGGGAACAACACTGTGGGAACTACACTGTGGGAACAGTGCACTGTGGGAACAACACTGTGGGAACAGTACACTGTGGGAACAACACTGTGGGAACAACACTATGGGAACAGTGCACTTTGGGAACAACACTGTGGGAACAACACTGTGGGAACAACACTGTGGGAACAGTGCACTGTGGGAACAGTGCACTGTGGGAACAGTGCACTGTGGGAACAACACTGTGGGAACAACACTGTGGGAACAACACTGTGGGAACAACACTGTGGGAACAGTGCACTGTGGGAACAACACTGTGGGAACAACACTGTGGGAACAACACTGTGGGAACAACACTGTGGGAACAACACTGTGGGAACAACACTGTGGGAACAACACTGTGGGAACAGTGCACGTGGAACACATGTGGGAACAACACTGTGGGAACAACACTGTGGGAACAACACTGTGGGAACAGCACTGTGGGAACAACACTGTGGGAACAACACTGTGGGAACAACACTGTGGGAACAACACTGTGGGAACAGTACACTCCCTAGATCAACCAGTATCAATAGTACTACATTTTTCTCCTTGTGTTGCATCCCTCCCTCTCTCTCCCTCCCTCCCTCTCCTTCCCCCTCCCTCTCTCCCTCCCTCTCTTCTCTCTCCTTCTCTCTCCCTCCCTCCCTCTACCTCCCTCCCTCCCTCTCCTTCTCTCTCCCTCCCTCTCCTTCTCTCTCCCTCCCTCCCTCTCTCTCCCTCTCCCTCCCTCCCTCTCCCCCCTCCCTCCCTCTCCCTCCTCTCCCTCCCTCCCTCCCTCCCTCCTCCCTCCCTCCCTCCCTCCCTCCCTCCTCCCTCCCTCTCCCTCTCCCTCCTCTCTCTCCCTCTCTCTCCCTCCCTCCCTCCCTCCCTCTCCCTCCCTCCCTCTCCCTCCCTCTCCCTCCCTCTCCCTCTCTCTCCCTCTCTCTCCCCTCTCTCTCTCTCTACCTCCCTCTCTCTCCCTCCCTCTCTTTCCCTCTCTCCCTCTCTCTCCCTACATCTCACCATTTTTCTCTTCTTACCATCTGTCCACTTTAATGTCTACTCCCCTCCTTGTATTCTCCCTCTCTCTCTCTCCCTCCCTCCCTCCTTCCACCCCTTCCCTTCACTTTCTCCCTCCTATCAGTGACGTATCATCAGTAACATAACATCAACTGTAACATCAATAACATTATCTGTAGCATCAATAACATAACTGTAATATCAGTAACATAACATTAACTGTAACATCAATAACGTAACATCAACTATAACATCAATAACGTAACATTAACTGTAACATCAATAACATAACGTCATCTGTAACATCAATAACATTACATCAACTGTAACATCAATAATTTAACATCAACTGTAACGTCAATAACATAACATCAGCTGCAACATCAATTACGTAACATCAACTGTAACATCAATAACGCAGCATCAACTGTAACATCAATAATGCAGCATGTAACATCAATAACTAACATCAACATAACATCAATTACGTAAATAACTGTAAAATTCATACGCACAACTTAACATAATAAAGCTCTCTTGCAGATACACAATTATAATAATAGTTATTATAGTTAATTTTCTATTATTAAGTTACTAATGTTGTATCATTCTCGTTGATGTTTTTTATAATGTTAATGTTAAGAGTTATTACGATGTTATAAGCTGCCCTTGTTAGCCTTCACTATCACTCATAACAATAACATCTATATTTTCTATGTAAAGTTTAGGCTGAATACGTACTACAGTATCGTAAAGTTTACTATGAGAGTAATTAAGCTTCCTGCAGATATTATTATTATATTATTATTATTATTATTATTATTATTGTTATTATTATTATTATTATTATTATTATTATTATTATTGTTATTATTATTATTATTATTATTATTATTATAGCTTAAACTTGAACCTGGGAGAAATAAACCTGACATTAGTGGACATTTTTACTACCAAAACTATTAATTAATTAAAATTCCTAATTGTTGTGATAAAGAATATATATATAATATATATATATATTATATATATATATATATATATATATATATTATATATGTCGTGCCGAATATGTAAAACTGGTCAATTAGCAAGAACTCATTTAAAATTAAGTCCTTTCTAAAATTTTCTCTTATACGTTTAAAGATATATTTTTTTCATTAATGATGATGTAAAAATTTATAATTTTGCACCAAAAGGAACTTAGAAAACTTACCTAACCTTATTATAACAAGAACAATTTATTTTAGCCTAACCCAACTAAATATATTTTAGATTTGTTTACAATAATTTAATACTAAACAAACACAGTGAAATATATTTTTTTCGTTAGGTTCAGAATGATTTTGGCGAAATTATGGCATACATAAATTTTCACTTGCCCTATATGGCAAGATAAACGTTGCTATTTGAGCCAAGATCGCAAGTTCTGCCTATTCGGCACGATATATATATATATATATATATATATATATATATATATATATATATATATATATATATATATATATATATATATATATATATATATATAGCTAACATCAGTGACATACTACTATATAGAAAGACCCTTGTAATGCTGAACATTTCTCGCAAATTAGGTCAATTTTGTCCCAGGATGCGACCCACACCAGTCCACTAACACCCAGGTACCCATTTTACTGATGGGTGAACATAGACAACAGGTGTAAAGAAACATGCCCAATGTTTCTACCCTGGCTGGGAATCGAACCCGGCCTCTCGTCGTGTGAAGCGAGAGCTATAGCCACCAGGCCACAAGAGCCCCAAATGGAAGAAATAATTTTGTGAGTGTCTTCCAGCACAGCAACAGTTGTCTAATACAATTTCCTCTTTATGCAAGAGTCGCTAACAAGAGATAGAAGATGCAAAACAACCACGGGGGGAGTTGAATGATATCTCTAGGCCTTTAATGCTGCAATGAACGCACCATCAGGAGCTGTCAGTGTAACAGAAAACAGGAGGAAGCCCAAGCAAATACCATCACATGGAGCGACTGCATATATATATATATATATATATATATATATATATATATATATATATATATATATATATATATATATATATATATATATATATATATATATATATATATATTGTTTTTTCTAAGGAAGGAGACTTGGATGATGCAGTGACGGTGATATTAGCCAGCAGACCTGAATCACTACATAGGTGAGTGAACTTACTCACATGGGGTTGCAGGGGTCAGCTCTTAGCTCCTGGCCCTTCATGTGTGAGAGAGAATTTCAGCATGAAAATACACAGAACAGCATAAGACAATAATTGCCTCTTATATTTAACTTAATACCTTTAAACTCACTATAAATAACGTTAACATGATATTAACAAGAGCAACGAAGTCAACTTAACAACATTAACACACATGTATGTATTACAGATTACTGATGCAGGTGTGGGAGGCTGGTGTTCATCCCACACACGTCATTGTCTTCACCAGTGATGCTACTCAAGAAATGCGCCAGGTAATAAGCCATACAAAATGAAAAACAACCACGGGGAGAGTTGAGTGATAGCTCTAGGCCTTTCGTCTTGCAATCAACACATCAGCTAGAGTTGTTCCACTAAACGGATCTTCATGGACTTCTTACTCATTTCTGCAACATTGCAAGCTCCTGATGATGTGATTACAACACGAAAGGCCTAAATTATCATTCAGTTCCCCCCAAAGTGGGTGAGTTTTGCATATATATATATATATATTATATATATATATATATATATATATATATATATATATATATATATATATATATATATATATGTGTGTGTGTGTGTGTGTGTGTGTGTGTGTGTGTGTGTGTGTGTGTGTGTGTGTGTGTTATTGATACAGCTTGGTAAGTTAGATAATGTATTAAATATATGAATAATAGTGTATTATATAGTATTGGTGTATACATTACAGGTGTGTGAGTCATGGTGTATACATTACAGGTGTGTGAGAGTCATGGTGTATACATTACAGGTGTGTGAGAGTCATGGTGTATACATTACAGGTGTGTGAGAGTCATGGTGTATACATTACAGGTGTGTGAGAGTCATGGTGTATACATTACAGGTGTGTGAGAGTCATGGTGTATACATTACAGGTGTGTGAGAGTCATGGTGTATACATTACAGGTGTGTGAGAGTCATGGTGTATACATTACAGGTGTGTGAGAGTCATGGTGTATACATTACAGGTGTGTGAGAGTCTTGTTGTATACATTACAGGTGTGTGAGTCATGGTGTATACATTACAGGTGTGTGAGAGTCATGGTGTATACATTACAGGTGTGTGAGAGTCATGGTGTATACATTACATGTGTGTGAGAGTCATGGTGTATACATTACAGGTGTGTGAGAGTCATGGTTTATACATTACAGGTGTGTGAGAGTCATGGTGTATACATTACAGGTGTGTGAGAGTCTTGTTGTATACATTACAGGTGTGTGAGTCATGGTGTATACATTACAGGGTGTGTGAGAGTCATGGTGTATACATTACAGGTGTGTGAGAGTCATGGTGTATACATTACAGGTGTGTGAGAGTCATGGTGTATACATTACAGGTGAGAGTCATGGTGTATACATTACAGGTGTGTGAGAGTCATGGTGTATACATTACAGGTGTGTGAGAGTCATGGTGTATACATTACAGGTGTGTGAGAGTCATGGTGTATACATTACAGGTGTGTGAGAGTCATGGTGTATACATTACAGGTGTGGGAGAGTCATGGTGTATACATTACAGGTGTGTGAGAGTCATGGTGTATACATTGCAGGTGTGTGAGAGTCATGGTGTATACATTACAGGTGTGTGAGAGTCATGGTGTATACATTACAGGTGTGTGAGAGTCTTGTTGTATACATTACAGGTGTGTGAGAGTCATGGTGTATACATTACAGGTGTGTGAGAGTCATGGTGTATACATTACAGGTGTGTGAGAGTCATGGTGTATATATAACAGGTGTGTGAGTCATGGTGTACACATTACAGGTGTGTGAGAGTCTTGTTGTATACATTACAGGTGTGTGAGTCATGGTGTACACATTACAGGTGTGTGAGAGTCTTGTTGTATACATTACAGGTGTGTGAGAGTCATGGTGTATACATTACAGGTGTGTGAGAGTCTTGTTGTATACATTACAGGTGTGTGAGAGTCTTGTTGTATACATTACAGGTGTGTGAGAGTCGTGGTGTATACATTACAGGTGTGTTAGAGTCATGGTGTATACATTACAGGTGTGTGAGAGTCTTGTTGTATACATTACAGGTGTGTGAGAGTCTTGTTGTATACATTACAGGTGTGTGAGAGTCGTGGTGTATACATTACAGGTGTGTTAGAGTCATGGTGTATACATTACAGGTGTGTGAGAGTCATGGTGTATACATTACAGGTGTGTGAGAGTCTTGTTGTATACATTACAGGTGTGTGAGTCATGGTGTATACATTACAGGTGTGTGAGAGTCATGGTGTATACATTACAGGTGTGTGAGAGTCTTGTTGTATACATTACAGGTGTGTGAGAGTCATGGTGTATACATTACAGGTGTGTGAGAGTCATGGTGTATACATTACAGGTGTGTGAGAGTCATGGTGTATACATTACAGGTGTGTGAGAGTCATGGTGTATACATTACAGGTGTGTGAGAGTCTTGTTGTATACATTACAGGTGTGTGAGTCATGGTGTATGCATTACAGGTGTGTGAGAGTCATGGTGTATACATTACAGGTGTGTGAGAGTCATGGTGTATACATTACAGGTGTGTGAGAGTCTTGTATACATTACAGGTGTGTGAGAGTCATGGTGTATACATTACAGGTGTGTGAGAGTCATGGTGTATACATTACAGGTGTGTGAGAGTCATGGTGTATACATTACAGGTGTGTGAGTCATGGTGTATACATTACAGGTTTGTGAGTCTTGTTGTATACATTACAGGTGTGTGAGAGTCATGGTGTATACATTACAGGTGTGTGAGAGTCTTGTTGTATACATTACAGGTGTGTGAGAGTCATGGTGTATACATTACAGGTGTGTGAGAGTCATGGTGTATACATTACAGGTGTGTGAGAGTCATGGTGTATACATTACAGGTGTGTGAGAGTCATGGTGTATACATTACAGGTGTGTGAGAGTCATGGTGTATACATTACAGGTGTGTGAGAGTCTTGTTGTATACATTACAGGTGTGTGAGAGTTATGATGTATACATTACAGGTGTGTGAGAGTCATGGTGTATACATTACAGGTGTGTGAGAGTCATGTTGTATACATTACAGGTGTGTGAGTCATGGTGTATACATTACAGGTGTGTGAGAGTCTTGTTGTATACATTACAGGTGTGTGAGAGTCATGGTGTATGCATTACAGGTGTGTGAGAGTCATGGTGTATACATTACAGGTGTGTGAGAGTCATGGTGTATACATTACAGGTGTGTGAGAGTCTTGTTGTATACATTACAGGTGTGTGAGAGTCATGGTGTATACCTGGAGGAGACACAAAGGTCATCAGACTGTGCTGCTCTACACATAACTCTCCTCTATGAGTCCGCACTCACTGCAGCACTTGTACTCAGACCAAGAGCCGAGTACTTCATCACTCTAGAGGACGACATGGTACTCAAGCCTACCTTCTATAGGTAATAATAATAATAATAATAATAATAATAATAATAATAATAATAATAATAATAATAATAAAGTTAGAGGTTCCATAAACTTTGAATTTATTATTTGCAATAATTAATTATAGTTTAAACAATAAAATAAAGTTAGACTTTATAGCTTATAAGATAACGTGAGGAAAGTTAATTATCTTGATGACTTGGAGATATAGGGAGAGAGAGAGAGAGAGAGAGAGAGAGATGGGGACGGGGGGGGGACGTACACAAACTCAGAGCTACTGGAATGTTATCTGAGAGGATGAACCAGTACCCCCAACCCCCCACTCCCACCCTCATCCCCCCAGTACCCAGTACTGTTGGAATGTTGCCTGCACCACCAACAGTACTGTTGGAATGTTGCCTACACCACCAACAGTACCGTTGGAATGTTTCCTGCGCCACCAACAGTACCGTTGGAATGTTGCCTGCACCATTAACAGTACTGTTGGAATGTTCTCTGCACCAACAGTACTGTTGGAATGTTCCTTCACCTTGGGACACCACGCACAACAGTCGACTAACATCCAGGTACCTATTTACTGCTAGGTGAACATAAGTAGCAGGTCTACCTGGAGGGAGTTCTGGGGGTCAATGCCCCTGGGGCCCGGTCCATGACGAGGCTTCATGTTGGATCAGGGGCTGATCAACCAGACTGTTACTGCTGGCCGCACGCAAACCGAGGTAGGAACCACAGCCCGGCTGGTCAGGTACTGACTGTCTGTCCAGTTCCCTCATGCAGACAGCCAGGGGTCTACTGGGCCCCTGACACTTATTATGTTGTCTCTTAGTGTATTCATGGCACCCCTGCTTTTCACTGGGGTGAATGGTGCACCACCTGCTGAGTCTTTTGCTTTCGTAGGGAGTAAGTTCAGTGTGCAGATTTGGGACTAGTCCCTCTAGGATTTTCCAGGTGTAGATTATGATGTATCTCTCTCGCCTCTGCTCCAGAGAGTACAGGTCAAGGGACTTCAAACGTTCTCAGTAATTTAGGTGCTCTATTGTAATTATACATACCGTGAAAGTTCTCTGTATATTCTCCAGGTCTGCAGTTTTGCCAGCCTTGAAAAGGGCCGTTAGTGTACAGCAATATTCCAGCCTAGAGAGAACAAGCAATTTGAAGAGAATCATCATGGGCTTGAACACGGAGTTCCATGAGTTTGGGCCTAGAGCATAGTCCCGTGGTTTTAGGATTATATTAGAAATATAATCCTCCACTTGTAGGTAAAACAGCACCAGTTCGTCGAGGAATTAATTTATATAGCATTTGAACAGTATTCATGGGCATTTTGAGGCATTTCTAAAGCAAAACCTACTTTCAGAGACGACGGTGGTCAAAATCAGTTCTTGACTTGCCGTTTCAATTGACCCCACAGATGCTCCATAAGATTTAGATCCGGTGATTGTGGAAGCCATTGGAATGTTAGACTTCACTTTTATGTTCTTCATTACAGTTTTGAACAACTCTATTGGTGCAAATTGGTGCATTATCGTCTTGGAAGATAACACAGTTCAGTCAGCAAGTGTTGATATTATTGTGTCCACCCCTGCATCTGCTGCTCTGTGAACTGACTGATGTAAATACAAGTGTTGTATGTTGTTACAGGTGGATGAGTGAGGGCAGGCGAGCAGTGGCTGAGGGCAGCAGCAGCATCAAGCAACACCACTTGTTGTGTGTGAACAGCATGAGACCTGATACCACTTATACTCTCTACACCTACCACCACCCACCCCGCCCACCGCCGCCCACCACACCTCACACCCACGTCCATGCCACCCACCATGCCACCCACTCGCTCACTACTGGCACCCACCACTACCAAACATCAATTACCAAGTTATCACACTACATTAACAGCAGTGGTGCTGACCCAAGCCACTTCAATAGCAGTAGCAGCAGCAACAGTAGTAGCAGCAACAGTAGTAGCAGCACTCACTACTTTGAGATAGACAAAGTAACAAGTAGTGTGAACAAGGCTGCTGACAGTTTGTTACAGTCAGTAACACTGAGAGAGAATAGTGTAATTAACACACGTCACCCACAACACTGGAAAGAAGAGAAATCAATAGAAAAGAATGAGCAGGAAGAAGAAGAGGAGGAGGAGGAAACAGTGAATGAGGTTGCTGCTGAGTCCATATCAAGCTTCCTAGCTGGCTGGGGTGCTGAGAGACCTGTGGTAGAAGCTATGATCAGGCTCTGGCCTCTAGCAGTACGTATGCACCCACCCATTAACCCACCCACTAACCCACCCACAAACCCACTCACCCACCCACAAACCCACTCACCCACCCACCCACCTGCTCAAACTGCCCTTTCATAAAAACTAACTACCTAGTTATCTAATATATTTCCCTAAGAGCTTCCTAAGTCTAGCAAATTATAATGTTTAAGATTATGCTTGATTTGTTGAGTGACTGGACTCAGAAATTTTATTGTGAACGAGATGGTGACTTAACACCAGTGGTAAGAGACTTGAACCTTAACACCAGTGGTAAGAGACTTGAACCTTAACACCAGTGGTAAGAGACTTGAACCTTAACACCAGTGGTAAGAGACTTGAACCTTAACACCAGTGGTAAGAGACTTGAACCTTAACACCAGTGGTAAGAGACTTGAACCTTAACACCAGTGGTAAGAGACTTGAACCTTAACACCAGTGGTAAGAGACTTGAACCTTAATACCAGTGGTAAGAGACTTTAACCTTAACACCAGTGGTAAGAGACTTGAACCTTAACACCAGTGATAAGAGACTTGAACCTTAACACCAGTGGTGAGAGACTTGAACCTTAACACCAGTGGTGAGAGACTTGAACCTTAACACCAGTGGTGAGAGACTTGAACCTTAACACCAGTGGTAAGAGACTTGAACCTTAACACCAGTGGTAAGAGACTTGAACCTTAACACCAGTGGTAAGAGATTTGAACCTTAACACCAGTGGTAAGACACTTGAATCTTAACACCAGTGGTGAGAGACTTGAACCTTAACACCAGTGGTGAGAGACTTGAACCTTAACACCAGTGGCAAGAGACTTGAACCTTAACACCAGTGGTAAGAGACTTGAACCTTAACACCAGTGGCAAGAGACTTGAACCTTAACACCAGTGGTAAGAGACTTGAACCTTAACACCAGTGGCAAGAGACGAACCTTGACACCAGTGGTAAGAGACTTGAACCTTAACACCAGTGGTAAGAGTGTTAACACCAGTGGTAAGAGACTTGAACCTTAACACCAGTGGTAAGAGTGTTAACACCAGTGGTAAGAGACTTGAACCTTAACACCAGTGGTAAGAGACTTGACCCTTAACACCAATGGTGAGAGACTTGAACCTTAACACCAGTGGTGAGAGACTTGAACCTTAACACCAGTGGTGAGAGACTTGAACCTTAACACCAGTGGTAAGAGACTTGAACCTTAACACCAGTGGTAAGAGACTTGAACCTTAACACCAGTGGTAAGAGACTTGAACCTTAACACCACTGAGGTCCAGGTGGCCAGCGATATACCTGGAGTATACCTTGAGGGTTTTCCGGGGGTCAACGCCCTCGCGCCACGGCCCATGACCAGGTCTCGTGTTGGATCAGGGTCTAATCAACCAGGCTGTTACTGCTGGCCGCGCGCAAACCGACGTAGGAACCACAGCCCGGCTGGTCAGGTACTGACTTTACATGCCTGTCCAGCTCCTCCTTGAAAACAGCCAGGGGTCTATTGGTAATACCCCCTTATGTATGCTGAGAGGCAGTTGAATAGTCTTGGGCGCCTGACACTTATTGCGTTGTCTCTTAGCGTACTCATGGTGCCCCTGCTCTTTATTGGGGGAATATTGCACCACCTGCCTAGTCTTTTCCTCTCGTTGGGAGTGATTTGTGTGTGTAGATTTGAGACTTGTCCCTCTAGGATTTTCCAAGTGTATATTATCATTGTATCTTTCTCGCTATGTGCTTATATGGGGCTGTCTCGCGACTCAGAGCCTAGCTGCTAGGCTGAGTCACCACCGGTGACTAAGCCTAGCATCACCAACACCGGTGGTGGTAGCGGTGGTGGTAGGCTGGGCTTGTATGGGTGAGGGAGAGAAAGTAAGGGTAGGGGTCGGGTAGAGAGAGCTGCTACTGTACTCCATTGTTGCTACTCTCCCCTCCCTCTTTCTCCCTCTCCCTCCTCCATCCCCATCCGTGTCCATCTATCCCCAACTCCTCGATGGGTACCCATACATGGAGACCGTTGACTTAAATTTGAATTTTTTTTTTATAGTGTCCAGGGTATGTTAGTTCCCCTCATGTTGTTGATAGTGTCCATGTTATGTTAGTCCCCCTCATGTTGTTGATAGTGTCCAGAGTATGTTAGTCCCCCTCATGTTGTTGATAGTGTCCATGTTATGTTAGTCCCCCTCATGTTGTTGATAGTGTCCAGAGTATGTTAGTCCCCCTCATGTTGTTGATAGTGTCCAGAGTATGTTAGTCCCCCTCATGTTGTTGATAGTGTCCATGTTATGTTAGTCCCCCTCATGTTGTTGATAGTGTCCATGTTATGTTAGTCCCCCTCATGCTGTTGATAGTGTCCAGGGTATGTTAGTTCCCCTCATGTTGTTGATAGTGTCCATGTTATGTTAGTCCCCCTCATGTTGTTGATAGTGTCCAGAGTATGTTAGTCCCCCTCATGTTGTTGATAGTGTCCAGAGTATGTTAGTCCCCCTCATGTTGTTGATAGTGTCCATGTTATGTTAGTCCCCCTCATGTTGTTGATAGTGTCCAGAGTATGTTAGTCCCCCTCATGTTGTTGATAGTGTCCAGAGTATGTTAGTCCCCCTCATGTTGTTGATAGTGTCCATGTTATGTTAGTCCCCCTCATGTTGTTGATAGTGTCCAGGGTATGTTAGTTCCCCTCATGTTGTTGATAGTGTCCATGTTATGTTAGTCCCCCTCATGTTGTTGATAGTGTCCATGTTATGTTAGTTCCCCTCATGTTGTTGATAGTGTCCATGTTATGTTAGTCCCCCTCATGTTGTTGATAGTGTCCAGAGTATGTTAGTCCCCCTCATGTTGTTGATAGTGTCCATGTTATGTTAGTTCCCCTCATGTTGTTGATAGTGTCCATGTTATGTTAGTCCCCCTCATGTTGTTGATAGTGTCCAGAGTATGTTAGTCCCCCTCATGTTGTTGATAGTGTCCATGTTATGTTAGTTCCCCTCATGTTGTTGATAGTGTCCAGAGTATGTTAGTCCCCCTCATGTTGTTGATAGTGTCCATGTTATGTTAGTCCCCCTCATGTTGTTGATAGTGTCCATGTTATGTTAGTCCCCCTCATGTTGTTGATAGTGTCCAGAGTATGTTAGTCCCCCTCATGTTGTTGATAGTGTCCAAAGTATGTTAGTCCCCCTCATGTTGTTGATAGTGTCCAAAGTATGTTAGTCCCCCTCATGTTGTTGATAGTGTCCAGAGTATGTTAGTCCCCCTCATGTTGTTGATACTGTACAAAGTATGTTAGTCCCCCTCATGTTGTTGATACTGTCCAAAGTATGTTAGTCCCCCTCATGTTGTTGATAGTGTCCATGTTATGTTAGTCCCCCTCATGTTGTTGATAGTGTCCAGAGTATGTTAGTCCCCCTCATGTTGTTGATAGTGTCCAGAGTATGTTAGTCCCCCTCATGTTGTTGATAGTGTCCAGAGTATGTTAGTCCCCCTCATGTTGTTGATAGTGTCCAGAGTATGTTAGTCCCCCTCATGTTGTTGATAGTGTCCAGAGTATGTTAGTCCCCCTCATGTTGTTGATAGTGTCCAAAGTATGTTTAGTCCCCCTCATGTTGTTGATAGTGTCCAGAGTATGTTAGTCCCCCTCATGTTGTTGATAGTGTCCAGAGTATGTTAGTCCCCCTCATGTTGTTGATACTGTCCAAAGTATGTTAGTCCCCCTCATGTTGTTGATACTGTCCAAAGTATGTTAGTCCTCCTCATGTTGTTGATAGTGTCCAGAGTATGTTAGTCCCCCTCATGTTGTTGATAGTGTCCAGAGTATGTTAGTCCCCCTCATGTTGTTGATAGTGTCCAGAGTATGTTAGTCCCCTCATGTTGTTGATTAGTGTCCAGAGTATGTTAGTCCCCTCATGTTGTTGATAGTGTCCAGAGTATGTTAGTCCCCCTCATGTTGTTGATAGTGTCCAGAGTATGTTAGTCCCCCTCATGTTGTTGATAGTGTCCAGAGTATGTTAGTCCCCCTCATGTTGTTGATAGTGTCCATGTTATGTTAGTTCCCCTCATGTTGTTGATAGTGTCCATGTTATGTTAGTCCCCCTCATGTTGTTGATATTGTCCAAAGTATGTTAGTCCCCCTCATGTTGTTGATAGTGTCCAGAGTATGTTAGTCCCCCTCATGTTGTTGATAGTGTCCAGAGTATGTTAGTCCCCCTCATGTTGTTGATAGTGTTCAGGATGTGTTAGTCACTCTCACATTATGTGTTCCAAGGAGTACAGGTCAAGGGACATCAATTGTTCCTAGTAATTTAGGTGCTTTATTATACTTAAACGTGTCGTGAAAGTTCTCTGTACATTCTCCAGGTCTGCAGTTTCGCCAGCCTTAGAAGGGGTCATTAGTGAACAGCAATATTCCAGCCTAGAGATAACTAGAAATTCGACGAGATTCATCATGGACTTGGCATCCCTAGTTTTGAAGGTTCTCATTATCCATCTTATCATTTCACTAGTAGATGTGGTAGAGACAGTGTTGTTATTCACTTTTGTGATTTCAGTTCTTGTTGTGATTCAGTTTTTATTTCCTCGAGTTTTCCATAGTGGAGTAATTGAAATTTGTCTTGTAGTTGAAGTTTTTTCAGTAAAGATAAAGAACCAAAACCTCGTCCTAGGACCTGCCTAGTATGGGCCAACAGGCCTGCTGCAGTGTTCCTCCTTTCTTATGTTCTTAGGTCATTGTGGTTGTATACAAGCCAGCAGATGTAACTTCCCAACAGTTCAAGGGAGAACTGTTGAAAACTGACTACTGTCTGGAAAATCTTCCAACCCCAAATATCTTCTTCCTTGGTGATTTCAACTTAAGATATTTAAAATGGAAGAATGTGACGACTAATGTTTTAGCTGATCCACCACGAGTCCTGGTCACGGACCGGGCCGTGGGAGCGTTGACCCTCCCGGAACACCCTCCACCTGGTCACAGACCGGGCCGTGGGAGCGTTGACCCTCCCGGAACACCCTCCACCT